AGCCAGCTGTTATCTGATAAACCTCATTCCTGAGGCCCAAATCCCTCGCCCACACTTTTGCCCGCTTATTAAGAAGGCTGCCTGGAAAGGAAACGTAAGGTGGTCTGAGGGGGTCTGAACCCGCCGTCTTCTCAGGTCGCCGGCCGTCTGAATAAAGCGCCCGTGAAGATCCCGCCCCCGTTTCCCTGCTCATTGCGCCTGGGACGTGACAGGCAGCAAGGACACTGGCTTTTCCGGTTTCACGCCGTCTCTTCGACCCTAAGATAACGCCTGAGTAATCCCTTCTCCCAGACCCCTCAGGGCACACCCTCCCCCAGAACACCGGGCGGGAACCCCTCGTGGTTATCTCGTTCCCGGAACACCGTCTCTGTGGGCCGTGAATGTTACTGTGGACCATCCAGTGTAGAAGCAATGTCTCCTCGCTGTGCTCTGTGTCCAGTCTCCGAGACCCCCGCCTTGTTTCCCCCACCTCCCGAGCCCCCCACCAGTGGGTGCCGTGGGGCCCTCCTTATGCCTCCTTCCATTGCAACGTAGAAACAAGGGGCAAAACTGCCGTTCTCTGGAGCATGTTCTCAATCCACTGAGATTTTTCTTCCCCGCCATTGGCGTCAGTTTGGCTCAAATAAACTCATAAACATTCTTCCAGGTTTGGACATTCCTCGAGTTGACATTATGGGGCCACTCTGATTGGGTGACATGATGGGGCCACTCTGATTGGGTGACATGATGGGGCCACTCTGATTGGTCAGGATGGAGGCACAGGCTGGCCTCAGGGAAAAACATTCTCAGTCCTCTGTTGGGTCCGCCCTGCCTGGTCTCAGGAAACTGTAACCCCCGGTGACTTAGGCTGGGTGAGAGACCTCCGGACCAGGAGCCAGTAAGGAGACAAAACTTATTCCCCTGGCATGAACGCTGCCTGTTCTGTGCCTGACCCCAATGCTTGATCAGTTAGCCAATGACGGGTAAGATTTCCCACAGGGGGAATTGCCTAAGACAGGCATGATCATGTGGAGGCCTCAGGGGAGAGACTCGGGGCTGTGGAAATGAAGGGGGGTGGTGGACATCGACCCCTGCCCCCTCGGCTTTGTCAAAGCCTGAGTCCTTGTTCTTGGATGTGAGAAATCCAAGTCTCCTGGCTGCCTTTGTCTCCTCTGCCCGACTCAGGCCTGCGGAAATAACAGAGGTGGTGCAATCCAGACCAGAGTCGGCGGACCCCCCAGGGCAATCAGGCCTGGGACATAGAATATGCAAGATCCTGTGAGATCTGCTTGCTGGAGGATGGTCTTGAGTTAGAATATGAAGGCCCAGGCAGGAAACAAGACTAGCCTTTTAGATCCTGTAGTCTTTGTAAGTGATAAAACCCCAAACTCTGCCCAGAATCCCAGCAGGAGTTCTGTCAGCACCTTTGAAAACTACCTATTCCCTTTGATCTTCCCTGCCAGACTGTAACCCACAAACTGAGTCTGTATTCTTAATAAAAGCCTACCCAGGCGGCGACTCAGCGCGCTCCCCACTGGAGAGAGTAGCCGTTCCGTCCCTATCTCCCCACAGGACCCGGTTGTCCCTGTGTATGTTTTTCTCGTGTTTCCACGAGCATCCACAGCGGGGATGGACACTGCTGGCCAGTGTCCGCCACAGTCCTCCTCACCCAGTTCTTCTAACTGTGTTGACGTCTCTCTACAAAGGAGCCTCTTTTTGCGTAACCCTGGAGGGACCTGCAGGTCCCAGGTCAGGGACTCTTCTGTGGCAAGAGCCCCTTTGCCGGCAGCGACCCTCTCCAACAAAGCTTCCCCTAAGTCGGGGTCTGGTTTTGTTTGGCAGTGCTCGGGAAAGGCGTCTGAACACTGGGACTGTGGTTTGAAGAACTGGAATTACGGTGTCAGGGGAGGTTGTTTTAAGAAACGGGTGTTTTTTAGCCTAAAAGAAAAGAGAGGAAAGAGGACGGAATCGTGCGGCATGCCTCATTATTCAGGGGGAGGGAAGGTGAAAGGAGCCAGAAAGGGACAAAAAAGTGGTGGGGTAAACGGGGAGGAGAGGGTGACACGAGGAGATCCTGGGGGGCTGTTGGGAGCCGACCCACAGCTGACCTTTGGCACAGCCAGGTCGGGTGAGACGCATCTGCACAGCAGAGGCGACTGTGGCCGGATCTCCCGTCTATCTCCTCCTGTATGCCTGTCCCTGCTAGCGATAGGTGGTGGGGTTTTCAGATGCCTGTGTGTTACAACAAAACATCTGCACGATGCCTCTGATTCTGCTCGAAATGACTTGCTGACCACAGAACAGAGACCCCTAGCAACCCCAATGTTGCCTGCTTCCCCCACCTGGGAAGTTAAGGACAAAATTAAACTATGGGCAGACCAGCTGCCAGACCACTGAAGGAAGCTGTTGCTAGGAATGTTGCTTAAGAAGTCACCACTTAAAAGCTTAAGATTTATTAGAGCCACTACCCCTCCCATACCCTGGACAGGAGTGCAAAGAAGCAAGGAGTTCTAGTTGAGAATAATAATCCCAATACATGGAAACAAACACAAAACATGGCCCCCGCAAGACGTATAAATCAAAAAACCTAGGCAAAAAAACCAGATACTTAACCGAGACAAATCTAACCTCAAAGGAAAATAGCTAATTTCTATATACGTATAAATCACCCTTTGCACCTTTTAATTTAGACCAATCCCTAGAATCTTAATAGACACCTAGTGACTAATTGGCACCTGAAAGTTTGTGCCCGTGTAGCTTCGTTGGCTATCTGATTGATGACCCTCTTGGTCAAAACAACCTTTGTTTACCATGGTTGATCTGTGGGACCTCCTGTACTTTTTGGTTGTTTCTTTGTTTAACATGATTGATCTGTAAAACCTTCTGTACTTTTTGAAATTATTCCTCCTATGGTAACCGTTTCTGTTTTAAGAATCACACTATGCATTGAATGTTGTATCACCTCCCCTATAGAAATACAGATTGATTTTTCTCAGAGTCAGTCGGGCCCCAAAAGCCTGGCTGTCCTCGGGCACCCAGGTGACCGGGTGTCTCGCTTCAGCCACTTCGCCTGAGCCGTGCATCCTCCGGGGACCCTGAGACCCCGCCGAGGCTGGACCCCAGCAGGGCGCGGCGCGTGCGTTCTGTCCACGGCTGTATTTACTGAGCACCTACTGCTTGCCATCCCTTTACCAGGCAGCAGAGACTCAGCAGTGGGCAAACTGTACAAGGGTCTGGCCTTGCAGTCTGGAGGGGAAGACAGGTATTTACAAAACAATGTCTATGTCGGAGACGTCCAGACCTGGAGAGAGTTTCATGAGAATCTGAGCCAGAACCCATGGCATCGCATTGCAGGGAAGCGAGATCTCCAGTTTCCCTGCGAGTGAGGGTTGAGGTTCCTTCTGAGTGTGCGGGATGCAGAAGGGAGCGCCGGTGAGAGAAAGCCGTGGGGGGTGGGGTACAGGGTGATTAGGGTGGTGAGCTCCCTCGGGGTCAGAAGAGACGGTTGCTTCCGGCACTGCAAAGGTGTGGCAGCCTAGACGCGCAGGAACAATGCGCAGGGCCGCTCAGACCTTCCCCTGGAAAAGGGAAAGGCCTGGGGGTGACTGCGCCCTGGGACCCGCCCAGCGAGGGGCGTAGGGTGCGATCACCCTGTGAGCTGAGGGTCGGCTAGATTTATTGCAGCGCGCCCCTTCCCCCCGCAGGAGCCACACATTTCGTTTACAACGGCGAGTTCTCCGTGGGCTTCACCCAGGAGTACGTATTTCTCGGGCGTCTGACATTCGGACAGTACCCGGGGGCAGAGGGCCCAGAGGAAGCCGCAGGGCTTTCACTCACGAGGTAGACAGGAATGGGCATTAACGAGGGGAGTGGGGGCCGGTTGTGAGCTGGGGGGCGGGCGCAGCGGAGGTCTCGGCAGAGAACCGGCTGAGGAAGCGAACAGGGCAGCGACTTCGGTCGGGCCTGGGCCGGGAGCGCGCTTCCTGGGCTGCCCGCGGAGCTGGTAGGAACCTCGCCCGACGGCGAGGACACGAGCCTGAGCGTTACTCCCCGAGCGGGCGTGGCCCCGTCGGATCACCTCCCATCTTAGAGCCGGCCCTGGGCCGCAGCGCAGGGGTCCCCGGCCATCAGAGGGGGCCGCGTCTGAGGGCCTGCAGGGAGGGATGAGCACCGGCGGGTGGCCAAGAGGCGGGCAGCTGCCATCCAGCAGGGGCCTCCCTTCCTCCCTCCAGCCGGCCTGGAGGGGTCGCACCGCCCTGTCCTCGCGCTCAAGGGCCTTGGGCGCTGGCTGGCGGCAGGTGCGCCGCCCCAGGATGGCATTTCCACCCGACTGTGCTCAGAGGAGGCTGGCGGCCCTGGGGGCAGGGGGCAGCAGGGGACCGGCCGCCTGGCGGTCCTCCCCAGGGGCCCCGAGGCGCTGCACGCGGCGGGGACCCTCGACGGGAGCGGAGCGAGCAGCGTTAGGCGGGGTCCGGGAGCTCGGAAGTCGCAGGCCTGCAGCGAGCGGGGAGGCGGGGACCCGCCGCTGCGCCCGCCGAGCTCCTGGAAGGTAGCAGCCGACCCGAGGAGACCGCCGCGCCCGCCGCGGCGCGCGGACGAGGGGCGGGGACACAGAGGACAGCGGGGCGGGCGGCTCTACAGCGGACCTCACGGGTCGGCCGGGGGACGCGAGTGGGCCGCCGCGGGGGAGAGGAGGGCCTCTGCCAGGAGCCGGGCGGAAAGGGGACGCCGGGCAGGGGGCGGGCCCGGGGGCGGGGCGCGACGTCGGGGCGTCGCGGGGCGTGTCCGCCAGCCCCGCGCTCCGCAGCCTGCGTCGGGGGCGTGTTCCTCTGTGGGGGCGTGTCCGTTTGGAGGCGGGTCCACATGGGGGGCGTGCTCGTTACGGGGGCGGATCCGGGGCGTGTCCGGGCCGGGGGCGGAGACCTTCGGGCCTGGAGGCTGCAACGGCCAGAACCGCTGGGTGGCAGTGGGGGTCGCAGCGCGGCCAGGGACGCGGCCGCGTCCGGTGGCTCCGGTGAGGCGGCGCGCCCTTTGGCGATCTGGTGCTCCGGGGCGCTCCGGGTGGCCGGTGGGCCGAGGGCCGGCGCGCGGGGTCTACTGGAGCGCGGGGCCCCCTTTCCACTCGGAGTGGTGGCTCGGGGCCCGTGTCGGTGGAACCTCCTCGTGAGCGGGACGGACGGCGCTGCTCGCTGGCTTACGCCCCGGTGCAGAGACGGAGCTAAGACAGTGTCCGTTTTCAGAGACGTGCGAGGCTTGGCCCGGAACCCTCTGTGCCCCGTGTGCTTTGGAAGCGGAGCCTTCGCGCCCCTGCAGGGTCCCTCCCGGAGGTCTCGGCGCGATGAAGCCTGCAGCGGCTGGCCGCGCCTTCCTGTGCTCCTTCTGCCTGGTCCTCTGCTCCCTTTGCGGCGCGCAGGTGCCCTGGAGGAGGTAGGTGAGCCCCTGGGCGCGCGGTGCGGTCCCACCGCTGTCCTCGGCTCTTCCGGGTTCCTGGGCGGGCGGCGGGATCCGCGGAGGGTCCTGCAGAGGGTCCCAGCATCGGAGGGGGCCCGTGCCGGCTAGTCGCGGTGTGTCCCTGCTCTGAAATTCTCCCAGAGGTTGCTGGCGCACCTGTAGTTTAGAATGCAGGGCACAGTGAGTGAAACGGCGCTGGTTCCTCCTTTTAAGTTTCCTGATCCGCCCCCCCACCTTCCTCCTTTCCAGTGACAATCGGGGGGGTGGTGAACAGGCTGTGTCCTCCAGGATCCTCACTGGACTTCGGGCAGGAAGCCAAAGTTTGAGTCCCGGGTTTTAATTTTCCCTTCTGTTTTTCTCTGAGTACCGATCACACTAAGAGAAGGATTTCATGCTCACACAGGTGTGGGAAAAGGTGGGTTTTAACTTCTTAATGACAGCTTTAGTTAAACCATTGCTATCTGACCATATATTCTCAAAGGTAACGTTTCGTTCCAGTGTTCCCAGAAAGCGTGTTTTCTGGAGAGGCGTACTATCCGGGTTTTGCCCTGGGGCGGAGGGCGTCACCGGAGAGGCGGTGGTGCAGCACCCGCTGAACGGGACCTGGGTGCTGTGTGCGGCAGCCTGCTCCTCTGCACCGCAGAGACAAATGCAGCTCCTGCCCTCGCCCCAGCCGGCCAGGCGGTGTGGGTTGGTGGCCACCCTCGGGCACACCGAAGGCTTGGGGCCCACCGCTGCCGCGCCTCCACCCTCCGCCCCCTAGGGCGCTGCGGGAGGCAGCCGATCAATGTTTCTCTTCCTCTCTCTGAAGTCAGTACACATACCCTCGGGTGAGGGTTAAAAAGAAATCATACACAAAAGCACCTGCCCCCTACAGTGCATGCGTGGTGGGGGCAGGTACCTGGCCGAGGGTGGTCAGTCAGCGTCAGCCGTGACCAGGGCTGGAGTCCGTGCCCCCACAGCATAGGCCGTGCACCCTCCTTGGCCGGACAGCCGCCCTGACTGGGACAAGGCCGATCCAGACCCACCAGGGCCGCACGGGTCGGCGGGCGCGTTCCCGGGATGACCCGGGCTGAGAGCTCAGCGCCTGGCTCTCTCCCTCCTCCGCTCAGGGGGTCCACAGCTTCTCCGTGCTGCGGGAGGGTTGTGTTTCAGACGTCTCGGTGGTCTTGGTCGTTGCAGCGCAAAGGGCGACAACAGTCTGGGCTCCCGGCGGTGGCGTGGCCTGGCCTGCAGCCCCAGACGGTCAGTCAGTCAGTCTCCACCTGGGCGAAGTCAGGCTTTGCATCTGGGGGGAAGCTCCCGGCGCTTCTCCCAGCCCCGATTCTCACGCCGCGGTTCCCACGGCTTTTCCTGTACCCCGAGCGCTGGCCTCGCCATTTCAGACCCGAAGCCAAGGCTCCGTAACACCCCCACTCGGCACCTGCTCCGCCATACTCACTGGGGCACGAAACCAAAGGTGCGCGGACCTGGTCCCGTGTCACCTGTGAGCCCTCGGCTTGGGCACATCCCGTTGCCGCCTCCGTCCGCAGCCTGAGTCCCTCCTGTCTCACCTGTCTGTCTGTCTGTCTGTCTGCTGGGCCCGGCAGATGGGCTTGGAGCTTCCTGCTGAGAGTCTGCGTGTGACGCAGCCCTGGGCCCTTCCGGGGACGCCCCAGTGTCCAGGGGGCACCCAGGGCCAGAAGGGGCACCCTCGGGTCTGAGGGTCCCCGTACTGCAGAGAACAGGGGTGGCCGTTCTCCGTGTGGGGAGGGGATGGAGGGACCTCGGGCTGTTCCGGGTCCTCGTGGAGCTGAACAAACGGAGCGGTGGAGCTGGCAGGGCCTGTGGGTTTCACCGGGGGGGTGGGGGGACGAGGGGGACCGACCGGGTCAGCCCGTGAGCCCACTCAGGACAGCGGCGCCGTGCGGCTCTTCCCGCCTTCCGGGTCGCCACCGCCTCTCAGGAGGCCTTCCTGGCTTCCCAACCGGAATTTCAAGCCCCCCCCACCCAGCCGTGCCTGTCTGCATCCTTAGATACATTCTTCAGCACCTGTCACCACGGAACGCCAGGCGCGCGCTTCACTTATGGGGGTGTCGTCTCCCCCGTGGGCCGGTGTGCTTCAGGAGGGCGGTCGCTCGCCCCACAGCGGTGCCCGGGGACTCTGCCCCTCCCTCGGGACGGCCCGCCTGTCCACAGGAGTGCCTGGCCGGCCGCAGGCACCCGGAGCTTCTCGAGGGAGTGAGGGCGTGCACGATGGACGGGCTGGTCTACTGGGACTTCGGAACGGTCCTCGGAAACCGCGTTCCTTGTCTTCCGCAGTGGCGACCACGAGTGGAAAAAGCTAATTATGGTTCACCACTGGCCCACGACCGTGTGCATGGTGAGTGCTTCTGCCCTGGGGGCCCCTCGCTCCAGGGAGCCCCTCGCTCCAGGGAGCCCCGCCCCGGTGGCTTGTGGGAAGTCCCTCCCTGAGGCCCGGGGCTGCAGGCGGGGAGGTTCGGAGGTGCCAGAGGGGCTCCGGAGGGACACTGTCTCCCTGAGGGCCTGTGACGGGTTCCCAGGGGCCGTGACCCAGCGCCACAACCTGGGCGGCTCAGGACGTCAGGAATCCCTTTCCTCGGTTCTGGAGGCTGACGTCTGAAGCTGAGGTGCTGGCAGGGTCGGCCCCTCCTGGAAGCTCCTGGCGCCGCTGGCAGTCCTGGGTGTGCTGGGCTCGTAGACACGTCACCCCAGGCTCTGCTCTGTGCTCACAGGTGGCCTCTGCTCCATGTCTCTGTGCCTCGTGAGAGCCCAGGCATCGGAACCAGGGCCCACCCCACCCAGTCCGCCCCCACCTTCACCTGGTGACGCCCGAGAAGACCCTGTTTCCAGAGGAGGCCTCGGTCCCGGGCCCTGGGGGTTAGGGCCTCAGCCTGTCTTTGCCGGGGACAGGGCTCAGCTCGCCGCAAGGCGGACCCGGCTCCTCCCTCCATTTCTGGTCGAAATGTGTCCGTGGAGACCGCAGCCTTCTGAGCTCTGCTGGGCACAGATGCGGCCCCGTGTCCCCCACGGGCCGGTCGCCCTGTCTGTGCCCCTGTCCAGTCCTGGGCCCCCTGTCCTTACGGTGTCACTGTGGAGAGGTCCCCGTCTGAGACGGGGAGTCCCCGTGGGCGGGGAGTAAAGCCGCTGCCCGCGGCCCAGGCCCCAGGTGCCGCGCCGCAGTGCCAGGCCATCTCTAATTATAGGGACGGTGTTGCTGAGGTTTTTACTCGAGAGTCTGCGTTACAAAAGGCCCCTCCTTGAATCGCTGACAGCGAGCGGGAAGCCGCCAATAACCGCCCTGGGGTTTGGCCACCTCGTGACAGCCGGGGGCCTGTGGCTTCTTCCTACTTCCTCACCCCCCCGTTTTTCTGTTGACAAGTGAAGAGGAGACACCACTGGCTACACCCACCGAGCTGCGCGCCCGGTCCAGAGGAAGTGTTTCTAGCAGCGTGCACACGTGCTGGCGGAGGCTGCTCGGTTTTGCACACTTCTCGAGTATTGCCTCCCCCCCCACCCCCCCCGCCCCCGCCCCCCCATGCAGTTTCTCTCCTCTGGGGGATGGGGGGGGCGCGGGCACAGCCGCCCGTCACCTGTGTGCTGTTCCGTTGGCAGCCTCGTCTGGCCCCGGGGCAGGTAGCACACCACCGGGGGCGTCCCCTCGGGGCAGGGGCAGGGTCCCCGGCGGGCGAGGCTGCCGTGGGCCCCTGTGGGTGTGTTCAGGCTGCTAATGGAGACACACGGGAAGTGCCTTCCTAAGTGTCTTCCTGCCTTGAGGCTTAGAAGTGACATATGGGCAAATTATTAACCAGCAGAATGTTGTTATTAGGGAATTCGTTTTATTTGGGGGGGCAGGGTGCACGGCAGCCACCCCCGTCCAGGTGCCACCCCGGGCACCTTTCCCCACGAGGGAGGTGGGCCTCGCGGGGGCTGGGACAGGCCTGTCCTCGTGCTCAGCATAGCTGCGGGGGCACCTGCCAGAGTCCTGGCTGGCGATGAGAGCCAGCTGCCCCGTGGCCCCCGTCCCCCCAGGAAGGCTCCTCCAGACGCTGGGCGTGGAGCCAGCAGGAGGCCCAGGCCGGCGCTGGCCTGGCTTTGCCAGCTCTGCGCTGCGGACCCCGGGCCTGCGGCTCGGACCCCGCCTTTGTCGCCCTGCTCTCTGCCTGGTCATCCTGTGGCCTCGTTACAGCAGACAGTTTGGTCCCTTCCCCAGACCCCACCATATCCAGACCAACCGCAGAAGCCGCTATGCCCCAGACGGGGCGTGCCCCTCACCTGGCCCCCTCCCGGCCCCCACCTGGCCCCCACCTGGCCCTTTCTATTTGCATATCTCATTTGATAGTGAAAATGTATTTCCCGACGGCTGTTTGTTTTGGGAAACTCCAGGGCAGCTAGGCAGTTTGGGGGGCCCCAGAGAGGGCTCCACGGAGGGGTGCCTCCTCTCTCATCACACACCCCCGTTCTCGCCCCGGCGTTCCCCCGGCTCCAGACCCGGTGGTTCCTGTCGCGCCGACGTGTTCGGACTCGGACTCGGTGCCGGGACAGACATGAGGCCCGCAGGGGCCCTCAGCCGTGTTCCCAAACGTCCGTTCACAGTTAGATGACAGGAGCGTTGTTTACGGGCAGCGGCGTCTGCATCAGACCGACTTGACCGGCGAGCCGATAACAAGGAGCGAACACCGGCTTTTAACTCCGTCCTGTGGGCGGAGGGTCGGCCCACACACTGCCAGGCCCACCTCCAGCCCCGCGCGGTGTCCCCTCCAGTGGGCTGCGGGAGTGGCATGGTCACGGACTGATCCAGGATTGTGCTGTGTCAGCCCCGTCCTGGGTGTCACCCGTGGGTCAGAGGAGAGTCAGGCTGCTACGGGCACTTCGGTACGCAACGCACCGACTCTTCCCCGCCTGTCTTTTCCCAGGAAGTCGGAAACAACTGCAGGAGCCCCCCGGATTACTGGACGATACACGGACTCTGGCAAGCACTGGGCCCTCGGGGGGCTGGCTCGGGCGGGGGGGGCTTGAGTCCGGTCCTAGTGCTTACACTTGAGATTTTGTCCGGAGTTTATTTTAGCAGACCCTACAGTTTATTCAGTAGACCACGCAGGGCTGTGGGGCGGGGTTGGCATAGCGCAGCTCCTGGACCGGCTGAGATCCCCCCGCTGGAATCCCACCGGCCGGCCGTGGAGCGCCCCCTGCTGGGTGCTGCTGTTAGCGCCGGGCCCGCGCGGTCCGCACCCCCTCTCCTCTGCGGGTCGGTGCCTGAGCCCCTCCGGTCCTGGGCGTCCCCGCTGAGAGTCCCTTCGTCCTCCGCAGACCACGGTGAAGTGTTTTCCCCTGTCCTTTGGACCGCATCCCAACCGAGACTGAAACGCCTCTCTTTCCCGTTCCAACCTCCAGGGCTGACAAAGCGGAAGAGTGCAACCGCTCCTGGCACTTCGACTTTAACGAGATTAAGGTACAGACTCCTTGTGACGTCACTCCTCGGGGTGTCGCCCTGGGGCGCTGACCAGCGCCCTCCGGCCGTCTTCTAAAGAGAGGGCCGTGACCCATTGGCCAGGATCGAACCCCGGGCACCTCGGGATATGTGAACTGGGCCCCTAAATGAAACAGGAACGAACCCTCTCCTCCTCCTCCTCCTCCGCCCGGGCCCCGGGGAGCGGGCAGCGGCAGCAGGTGGGACCCCTGGGCTCTTACCCGCCGGCCCAGGCCCCGCCCCGCCCCGCCCTGTCCCTGCTGCCGCCCCATCCCCGCCCCCCCTCCCCCCCGCCCCCCCAACTGGGTGGATGGCGAGCACACCCAGGTGGAGGCCGCGGATCGCAGAAAAGATGGCGGCACCTTGGCCATCCTTTGGGGCCTGGGCGGGGTAGGTTTCTCCCTGGGGCCCTGCGCTGGGAGGAGGTGGCCAGTCCTTCCGGTCAGAGGCTCCTGTCACAGACGCCTCACAGGCCGGAGAGGGTCCAGCCGACGCACTGCCCCCCCCACACACACACACTCGCGTGCACATCCATGCAGGTGCCCCCCTCTCCTCCGGGGGGGTGTGACCGTCATCTGCCAGGGCCACCGGCACCTGGGCTTCAGGACACGGGCCTCCCTGGCTCCCTGGGGTGGGCTCAGGAGGTGCTGGAGTCACGGGCCCCCCAGGAGTGTGCGGCCGGAAAGGACAAGGTAGTCAGTTGCAAACCCATCACAGGCTCCGGTCCAAGGGGACTGTCCTCTCTCTGTCCCTTCCTGTGGGGCCCTCAGTGGCTGGGCCAGCTGTAGGGGTCCTTAGTGCGCCCCAAGCTGGTAACGCACCCCCCTCCGAGGTGCTTTCCTCTTCCCAGACCCACTTCGTCTCCCCCACCCTGCCCCGACGCCTTAGGGACACTCCTGGTTACATCGTGTGACCCCAGAGTGGAATCAGAGATGGGTTTATTATTCAGTGACCGTGTACTGAGCCCCTGCTGCTGGCCAGGCCCCGAGCTCGGGCTGGGGAGGCCGTGAGCACCACCAGATGGGGCCCCGGCCCACGTTGCTTTACGGTCAGGAGACAGGTGCCCGTGACGATGTCACCTCAGCAGCACGGGACTGCAGGCCGGGTGCCTGGAGAGAGGAGTGGCCAGGGCTTAGGGCCGTGGCCCCCAGCGAGGTTCCCCTGAGGAGGTGGCGTGTGAGCTGGAGCCAGATTGAATTAGGGGAAAGGTGGGGAAGGCCGACTTTTCGGTGCAGCCAAAAGGTGGTGCAGCGTGTGCCAGGGCCCCGGGGTAGAGGGCACAGCGCCCTTGAGAAGCTGGGGCGGAGCCAGCATGGCTGGGGCGAGCTGCGAGCCCGGGCCACGTCAGTGCCGGGTGCCACGGAGCCCAGCGTGCTGGCTCAGCGTCACTCCTCCGACCTGTGAGCCCCGTGGGAGGGCGCTGGGAGCGGGGCGGCCGAGGAACGCAGTGACCCAGCGTGCTTTCTAACGTGGCTCCAGCTGCCGGGTTAGGTGTGAGGGCCAGACACTGCTGGCTGGATGCAGAGGGTCCCGGTCAGCATTCCTGCCCAACAAGGCGGCCTGGCTTGGGCAACCCGTGGTCTGGTCACTGTCCGTCGCCCCCCAAGGGCTGGTGGGGGCTGAAGCCAGGCGGCGGGGGTGGGAGCAGGTGGCAATGGAGACAGCGAGGCGGCCGCTCCTGGGGGGTCGGCCTCCCCCTCCCCTGCCGGCGGGGGAAGAGAGCTTGTGTTCTGTGTGGTTGCTCGTTTGCTGTACTCACTGGACGTGACTTTCTGGGGCAGTTCTAGAAACCCATGGAAAAGTTAAGTGGCTTGCGTTCGCGTGGCACCCTTGTTACAACAGATGGACCAGCGCTGATCCTTTGTCACTAACTGAAATGTAGCGCCGACATGAGGTCCCTCCTCGTGTTGGACGTTCTGTGGGTTCGGGCAAATGTGTGGTGACATTACCCCCACCACAGTGTCACACGGAGCAGTGACACTTCCCGAAAGTCTGCTGAGCTCTGTCTGTTCACCGCCCCCCCCCCGACCCCTGGCGACCACGGGTCTTCCCGGTTCCCGTAGTTTCGCCTTTCCCGGGCTGTGGTGGAGTTGGGGTCCCACTGTGGTGGAGTTGGGGTCCCACAGCCGGTTCGGACTGGCTTTTTTTCTACTCAGCCACACGTGTGGAAGGCTCCCCCGCGTCTTTTCATGGTCTGGTGGTGCATTTCTTTTTTAAGTGCTGAGCAATGCTACACGGTCTGGACGGACCGCTCACCTGGGAGAGCTCGGGCGTTCAGACGTGCTCCTGGTTACTCAGATTCCGTGTTTCGAGTCCGTGCAGCTCCAACGCCTCGGGCAGAGTAAGCGCGGGGTTACAGTGACTCGCCGAGCGTCGTCAGCGACGCAGTTCTCATCATGCATCAGTCTGTCTAAATTCTGTGATTTTAGGATCTGTTGCAAGACATGAAGATGTACTGGCCCGATTTCCTCCACTCGCCTTCCAATCGCAGCTCCTTCTGGTAAGCTCTGGCAGCCTCACGAGCCTCAGGCGTGGCGAGGGCCTCGCCAGGGGGCTCCCGTGGAACTCTGGGACACCCGGGGGACAGACCGCACAACCGGTCCTCCGGGCGGAGAGGTGTGACCGACCTTTAATGCAGAATGGCCTCCCCCTGCCCGCCCCCCGTGTGCCGTCCGTGGTGCCTCCCCTCCCCGATGGGTAAAAACGAGGGCAGTGGAAGGCACTTCGCCAGCGTGGCTTCAATCTGTTACATCATTCGTTGCCTCGTGGTAAAGACTCGCTCTGCTGAGGGTTAGATGCCCGGCAGGTCTCAGGAGCTGCCACTCCAAGTCAGGTAGGACGGAGTAGCTCCTGGAGACACTCCAGGCAGAGAAGACACTGGTAGCAAAGAGGACGAGGTCGAGGAGGAGACGGCAGATACAGTTCAAGACGTAGAGAGCGAAGGAAGGGGGTTTCCCCTGAGGCTCAGCCCGCAGGTCCGCAGGCCGCTCCGTTCAAACACCCTCCACGTGGCGCGAGCTGAGCTGAGCCAAGGAGGAAAATGCTGTGTTTACTTCAAGACAGCTTTTTTTAAAAAAAAACAAAAGATTTTATTTATTTAGTTTTAGATAGGGAAGGGAGGGAGAAAGAGAGAGGGAAACATCAATGTGCGGTTGCTGGGGGCTGTGGCCTGCAACCCAGGCATGTGCCCTGACTGGGAATCGAACCTACGACACTTTGGTTCTCAGCCCGTGCTCAATCCACTGAGCTACGCCAGCCAGGGCTCAAGACAGCTTTTAACATCGTTGCTTTTGAAGAAGACAAAGTTAACATTCTTCTTATTTATATTTTTATTAGCTGAAGATAAGTCTTCATTTTCTCCATCTCACTCCAATGTGTCAATTTACAATTCAGATTACAACTGGTCAGATTTTGTCCAAAAAGGTTAACTTAACCCAAAATATTTTCTGTAGCCCTTTCAGGAAGAGTGAATTTTAGAGAAAAGCTTTCGAAAACAAAATGGAATGACCAGGGAGTCCGCGGTCCCGGTCACTAGTGTTCAGTGCACGGGGCGGGCGCAGGAAGCTGGGTTAGGGCCCGTGGGTCCCGGGTCTGTGGGGTGAAGTCATCCCTCTGACACGGAGGAGAAGCACCGGGGCCAGTGGGGGGACGGGTGGTTCCCGGCCCCAGCAGGGGGTTTCACATGGATAAGGCCTTCAGGAACAGAAACGGGCAACAGTTGAACTGTGCTTCGCAGCACGCGGCGCTTACCGGTATATCAACTGTCCTACCGCCAGCTGTAACAGTGTTCGACTGCGGAGTCGATGGTGGAGTGGAGTCGGTCCAGATTCTGCCACGTGGCTTCAAAACGAAATCCACAAACATACAAGGAAGGTCTCCTGCGGGCTGGGTCCTTGAAGATTTAATCAAAGTAGTGCGGGCCAAGTATGCACTTATTTTCGTGCTGGGTGAAGGCAAAGCGATTTCCTTTTCTAGGCTGGGTAGTTCAGCTACACACTAGAAACGTTTCGTACTGTGACAGAGGCAGACACCACCCACGGGTTAACCCTTGGGCCCTCCAGAGCCCCCCAGGACGGAAGGACAGGTGTGGAGAGCGCCCAGGTAGCGCCTCATTCCTGTCTCCCCATTGGCCGCACACGGGCCCCAGCTGCCCGGTCACCTCTGCTGCGGGGGCAACCGCCGGCCCGCCTGCCGCCGGCAGGGAGAGGCGCGGTCCGAAAAGTGTCCCCTTGAACGCCAGATAAGAGTCCAGCACGCAGAGCAGACGGCCTTGGTGCCCCAGGGGCTCGAGGTCACGCCCTAAGATCACCCCCCGTAGTAAATCAGCCATGCTGGGACGCCCCACGTGCACGGCCTTCTGCTCCTGGTTCCCGTCAGGAAGGGGGCCGGGGCTGGCCAGGCCCAGCGTGGCCACGCGGCCTCCCCGGGGAAGGCGTCCCTGGGCCTCAGCAGGGGGTCCCTGAGCGCCCCAGGCTGTCACCTTAGGGGTTCCCCCCCACACACACCCCCCACCTCTCCTCGTGTGCCCTGCTTGGGGGTGGGGGAGGAGAGAGGCCGCACGATGGTCACTTCTGATTGGACAACCTCGTGGTGAATGAGCACTGTCCAGTTCCAAGCGGTATGACCATTGCCTGTGCTGCAGATGAGGACTTCGACGCTTCCTGCTCCGTGAGAGAGAGAGACACCCCTCCCGCAGCACGGGACCCCTGTGCCGAGGCGATGCCGGGGGGAGGGGGGGCTGTGGGGCTTTCCTTGTGACTCAGCTCCAGGGCTTTTGTTTGTTCGTTTTGAGAGAGAGGGGAAGGGAGGGAGAGAAACATCCATGTGCGTGAGATGAAAGGTTGCCTCTCACACGCCCCCTGCTGGGGACCCGGCCCACAACCCAGGCACGGGCCCTGACCGGGAATCGAACCGGCGACGGTTCGCAGGCCGGCGCCCAGTCCACTGAGCCACACCAGCCAGCAGCTTCGTGCCCTTTTAACTGGGGACGCCCCGCACCCCTCCAGGAAGCACGAGTGGGAGAAGCATGGGACCTGCGTCGCGCAGCTGGAGGCCCTCAACTCCCAGCAGAAGTATTTCGGCAAGGGCCTGGACCTGTACCGCGGGCTCGCCCTGAACAGGTAGGCGCCCGCCCCAGCCCGGAGGCCCTGCATAGGCAGCCTCCCCTCCGCACCCGAGTCTCTCGGGCGTGACCCCCACCCCCGGGGAAGCCTGGAGCCACTCAGCGAGGGCAGCCGCCCTCCCCCGGTGCTGCGGGCCCTGGTCGTGGGCCACCCTTCCGGGCTGCACCCGTGTCTCCTGCCGGGCCCCTCCATGTCGCTCTGGGTCCCGGCCACGCGGAGTGGGCACGGGGCCGTGGGCCGCCTCTCCGGGCGGGGACGTCACTGCACGGTGTGTCGGCCCGGGGGAAGCAGCACCGACCAGGGCATGCCTCGTCCAGCCTCGATTTCCGAGGAAAGCGACTCGAGTGCACGAGACAGTTCTCAGACTGGTCGCTGGTGACCTCTGGGTCTTTGCTGCGATGCCCATGGAGTAGCTAGGAGAGTGGTGGGCCGGGCCCGTGGCCCTGGGGCAGCCCCCAGGCCCTTGGGATCTGGCCGCAGCCGGCGCTGTGGCCCTGGGGCAGTGGGGCAGCTCTCCAGTCCTGAGCCTCAAAACTCTCAGAAACCGTCCCCCAGGCGCCCGCTGGGGGCCGGGTCCAACCTGCCTGTCAGGCCTTAAAACTAGACCTCGAACCTTAACATCCCTGCATTTTCCTCTGCATCGTAAACCGCGGCTGCAGAGTATCATCCTCCTCTCGGAGGCAAGCCCATCAAACTCCGTAAGCTAGCGGTTTTTTAGAATTCGCTCATGGTGGAAAACTGGCAAACCTGAGGAAATGCAGAATGTCTCGAACCAACAAGATGGGCCGGGGGTCAGTGCCAAAGGGGGCTGCACGCCGTCTCCCCGGCGGTTTCCGGCGTCACTGGAGCTCCTGGTGGCTCGAGCCGGGGCCCCACAGGAGGACGGGGTGACTTTTCACCGTCTCGCTGCCTCGAGAAACAGAGCAGGAAGGAACAGGCTAACGTTTTAACAGCTCTGTTTGATCCAGCATATTCACGATACGATCACCGTCACCCGTGATAAATACACAGATTTGAGAAATGTTGCACTTGGGCACAAAGTCTCTGAAGTCCGGCCCTTCTCCTACACGGACAGACAGCCCGGGGGGGAAGTGGGCTGGTGCGATTCCTGGGCTCCGAGGACCTTGTCCGGGCCCCTCCCCCATCCCCCCTGCAGCCCCGCGTGCTCCAGGGCATCGCAGCCCGGAGACCAGGACCGAGAGAGGCGGGCTCGTCAGCACAGGGTCCCTCTGTCAGAACCCCAGTTGAAGGGGCGCCCCCTGCTCAGCCGACGCCCCGTCCCTGCGTCCACTCGGCGCGGCTCCCACCCAGGTGACCCGGAGAGGCCTGAGGGGCCGGAGGGCTTTGGGGGGGCACTGTCAGTGTGAGAATTCTCGCTGTGCCTCCCCAAGGCAGGAAGGTCAGCACACGGCACTGTTGGGGGGTGGGGCGGTTCGCTGGAGCCGGCCCAAACCGCGTGTTGCAGGGAAAGCTTCGGGGCTGCAGGTGTGGGGTGTGGTTGCAGACCTGGCCCAGCGCCATCTGCAGGGACAAGCCCAGAGCCCCACGCCGATGGCGAACTGTCTTTCAGAGCAGGCGTGGTCACTGGGGGGTGGGGGGGGGGGCAGGGGCGGGCCTGCGCCCCGCGGACAGCACCCGGAGCGGAAGGAGGCCCAGGCCCGCAGCGCTGGGTGCGGGGGCCGCCTTGCCACCGGCTTGCCGCCCTTGTTGGCGGGAGAAAAAGCACTTGCCTTTGAGGGCGTCTTAACATCTGCTCTGAAACGTGATGTTTGGAGAGAAGGAGAAAGGAAGATGGACCTTCACTCTGCAGCTAACGTGTCTTCTTTGCTTTAAACGTCAGCGTGCTCCTGAAGCTGGGGATCCGGCCGTCCGGCAACTACTACCAGGTCAGTCCGCCCCGAGCTTCTCGTCACCCGTGCCCCTTCTGCCCGGGGGACACCTGGCGGGTTGAAGGGCCAGCCCGGGGGTGCCCTCGGCTTGAGCGTGGCCAGATGGTCTCCCTTCCTGCGTCACTGCTGCGCTTCTAGAGACCCTTTGTTCAGTCGCGTTTCCCCGTGCGCGGTAGGTGTGCGCGGGGGGCTGCTCACACCGACGACCGGAAGCGTGTTCGGGTGCGGACCGGGCGGTTGGGGAAGCATTCGGTCTCACAGCATGTGTCCCTGTTTTCACGATGACACTGTGATTTTTCGTTTTTATGGTAAAACTGTAGGGACTTAAGTGTGACCAGACCCCACTGGCAGGTCAGCACACACGCAAGCGAGGTCACCTTGACCCCCAGCCGCCCCCCCGCCCTCTGCGGCACCCAGCTAGCCGCCCGGCAGGGAGACGCTGTGGCCGCAGGCCCCGCGGTGGAGGGCGCTCTCCGGCCCGCTGCAGGGTCAGCGTGCGGCTCTCGCGTCAGAGAGGTGCAGCTGGTTCTCGGACGTGGGCCTGTGCTGTCGCAGGTGTGGGTGAACGGGGTGGAAAGTCACCAGTAATAGCCCTGTGGTTCGGGCACCACGGCTGGACGGAGTGCGGCGTCCAGGGCCCTTCGGTCCTGCTCTGTGGAGTCTAGCTGGGCCCTCCCTCCCCCTACGGAGGGAGTGGAGGGGGGCACAGTGACCCTGGGGACGGATGACCGCTGCCCCGACCTCCCTTCTCGGGAGCCCTGAGAGAGTACGGGCGCCGGGGGTCACCTGGACTCCTGCCCCGGCGGGTGAGGGGTGTGCGCCGCCTGCTGCCCAGAGCTCGGTTTCAGCCACACCGAACGGAGGCAGCGGTGACCACACGCCCTCCCGGAGCCCCTCCGAGCTGCAGACACTTTGTCGGGCTGCGGAGCCCGCGCGGCGCCTGACCCAGTGGCAGGTCCCGGCGAGCAAGCGCCGGCCGCTGCACTGACCGTCAGGGCACCATCTGCTCCTGCACCCGCCCCCCAGGCTCCGGGTGCAGCCGGGGGGTGCAGGGCAGAGGGCAGAGAGCAGAGCGTGTGCGGCCCAGGTCCGGGGGTGGCGGCCATGTCCTGTCCCCGGGTGGGGGTGCGGGCGGGTGGGCGCTCGTTCCCCGCACGTCCAGCCCCGTCCGCTCAGCGAGGACACTGCCCGCGGCTGTGTCCCCGAGGACGTGGTCCAGCGTCGCGTCTGACCAGAGAGCTGCTGGACTTTCTCCGTGGGAGTTTCGCTTCTGACGCGCTTTGCTGACCTCAGATTTCAGATATCAAAGATGCCCTTGCCAGCCTGTACGGGGTCGTCCCTAAAGTCCAGTGCCTTCCGCCACGGCAGGTAGGTCAGGGTGCTGTTCCGTGGGCCTCCCGGTCTTTATCGAGAGGGCGGTTCCCCTCTGCGGGCAGCTCTGAGCTCACCACGGAGTTCGCAGGGGCGGAGTTGCTTGTATATGTGCACACACGTGTGGTACAGGCGTGTGTGTGGGTGGGTGGTGGGAATGTGGGCACGCACTGTGTGGGTGCTGTGTGTGTGTGTGTGTGTGTGTGTGTGGAACTCACCTTGCTCTCCGGCCCCAGGCAGACAGGGTCTGTTTTCTCAGGACTCACCCCTTCCCGGGATGCACCCCCCCCCCCCAGAAGGCCCCTAGAGGGGGCTCTGCTGCCGCGGCTGAACATTTCTGAGCTAGAAATGTTTCCTCTGTGGTCTCAGTGGTTCCGTCCAGTTCACGGACGAGCTGTAGCCGGTTTTGTCGGCCGCGGGAGATGCGAGTCTCTCGGGGTGAGGATGGGGTTGCCGGTTTGCCCACGAGGCTGCCCCCCACCCCGGCGTCGGGGGCGCCGTGTGTGTGGTTGCCGGCCTGCCCCTGCAGTGGTGTGAATTTCTGGGACGGCAGTGCAGTGCGCGGTGGGGACCCGGAGTCCCTGCGGTGGCACCGGGGCCCTGGCCCAGGTCACTGCTGGGGGAGGGGCCTGCTCCTGGAGCCCAGATCCCAGGCAGGGAGCCGCCTCTCGTTCAGGTTCAAAGTCACGGCGGTGGTGGAGCTGGGGTGCTGACCCAGGCCCGGCCCGCACTCTAACCCGGCTCTCCTCCCTTGTTCAGGACGAGGAGGTGCAGGCCCTCGGCCAGATCGAGCTCTGCTTCACGAAGGACCTGCAGCTGCGCAACTGCACGGATCCCGCGGAGTCGCCGCGGGAGCCCGGGGGCGGCAGGGGGCGTGCGCGGCCGGCGGGGGAGCTGTGGGGCCTGGAGGTCTGCGAGGACGGCCCGGTCTTCTACCCCCCGCCCCCCGAGGGCGGGCGCTGAGGCCCCGCCCGGAAGTGCGCGGGTTCGGAGCGCGGGAGACCCTCGCAGAGCGCAGCCGCAGCGGCGCGGCCTCGTGTTCGCGGCGGCACCCCCCCCCCCGCCCCGGTTCAGCCCGATCGTTCTGCTTTCACCTCTCGTCTGAGAGTGCAGTTTGCAGTGCGCGGAATAAAGCCACGTTTTCTGTTTCCTCCTGTATGTCTCTGTCACCCTCTGGAAGACTAGGCGGTGCCTGGGCGTTTGGCAGGTAGCTGGGGCTTGGGAAAACTCGCCCTGGTCCCTGAGGGCGGGCTGCCCTCCGGTGGGCTGGGCACCTGCCGTCAGCCAGGGGTGTCTCCACCTCCCCCGCCTCAGGGCTGACAAAACAGGGCCCCCCCACCCCCCCACCCCCCGCTAGCGTCTCCCCCCGTGGCCTGGCGTGGGGGCAGGCGTGTCCTCCAGGGGCCAGGTGCTGGCGGGTGCTCTGAGGGCGCCTGCATCTCCTCCGGGGACCTGGGTGTGCCAGGCAGCTTCCCGCCCAGGCACGGGAGCCGCCCGCAAGCTGGACCGCGGTCGGTTTACACAGGTCCCCTCCCTCTCTAGCGGAAGGCGGCCTGGGCCGCCGGTCGGTCGGTCGGTCCTTACAAACGCTCTGGGCCCAGGCTTCAGGGCACCCTGCCTGTGACGCGTGGATAGCGTGGCTCCTCTTGCCAATGAGGAGAGAGCCCAGGCTTGGGTGGGCTGCTGCGTGCCCCCCTCCCCCCCCCACCGCCACTGTCCTGGGACGTCGTCTGTGAGTGAGGACTCCTGGTGGTCCGGGCGTGGCTGTCCCAGGCTCCGGGACACCCACCCTTTCATCACCTCGCTTCTCCCTGGTCTCTGCCTTTCTGTCGTGTTTCCAGCCGTGTGCGTTAAAATACGACCCACCTGTTTGTCTAAGACGTACTGATATCTTATTCATTAAAAAGAAGTTTAAAATAGAATTCACTGTTTTCCAGGTATTGTGCTAAGCACTTAAAAATACTAATTTATTTAATCCTTAGAACAACCATATTTTCTTTTTTTAAAAAAGATGTTATTTATTTTTAGAGGGGAAGGGAGGGAGAAAGAGAGGGAAACATCAATATGTGGTTGCCTCTCTCACGCCCTCTACTGGGGACCTGGCCCACAACCCAGGCCTGTGCCCTGATTGGGAATCGAACCAGCGATGCTTTGGTTTGCAGGCCGGCGCTCAATCCACTGAGCCACATCAGCCAGGGCAGAACAACCCTATTTTCAAACTAATCCTGTCTTTCCAAAAAAGCCTACAACAATAGTGTCCCCCTCGTCCATAGGGGATACATTCCAAGCCCCACAGCGGACGCCTAGAACCATGGATAGTAACAAACTCTACACAGAGTGAGTGGGCAAAAGTAGGCTTACAGTTGTTCACTCGGAAAACAGTACAATAGTGAATAAATCATGATACAAGAATAAGCTGTTTTGCACACTCACAACCGTGAACCTACTTCCACCCGCCCTGGGCACGGCCTCTCCCACAAAGCTGCTTCCCCGGCCCGAGGCTCTGACCCCTTGTTCTCCATCACTGGTCCTGCGCAGGGCAGGGCTCGGGAGCACGGGCGGCTGCAGGTGCCCTTGGGAGCAGGAGGCCTCCGGCCGCGAGCACGTTCTGTGCTGTGCGCTTCGCCGTGCAGCGTGAGCGCAGTGGGACTGCAGCGTGAGTGCAGCGTGAGGGCAGTGTGAGCGCAGTAGGACTGCAGCGGGACCGCAGCGGGAGTGCAGTGGGACTGCAGCGTGAGCGCAGTGGGACTGCAGCGTGAGCGCAGCGTGAGTGCAGCGTGAGCGCAGTAGGACTGCAGCGTGAGTGCAGCGTGAGCGTAGTAGGACTGCAGCGTGAGTGCAGCGTGAGCACAGTGTGAGCGCAGTGTGAGTGCAGCGTGAGCGCAGTAGGACTGCAGCACGAGTGCAGTGTGAGCGCAGTGTGAGCACAGTGGGACTGCAGCGTGAGCACAGTGGGACTGCAGCGTGAGCGCAGTGGGACTGCAGCGTGAGCCCCTGCAGGCGCACCCTGGGCGTTTCACGGGCGGGCGGCTCTTTCTTGCTGAGTCCCCCCCCCCGCCCCCCGCAGCCTCCAGAGGTGTAACCCTGGCCGTGTTACCTAGCAACGGGAGTGGGTCATTACCCAGCACGCTCAGGAACACAGGAGGAGCTGCTGGCCTGGCCTCACAGGGGGCAGCTGCACTTTCAAAACGCCACCTGGGCCCCCTCGCCCGCAAAGCAGACCCCGAGGGAGGGGCGGACGAGGCTGGTGGAGCAGGTCACCTCCCCGGGGGTGTGGGCGGGCACCGCCTCCGCCCCCCTGACTGTCCGTGTTCTGCACAAACAGCTGGTGCTGTGGCGGCTCAGACGATGATGTCATCACATCCTGCCCATGGCCAGCACGCTCCGAATTTCTTACCTCGTGAGCCTCCCTCTCAGCCGGTCCTGTGGGCCCCAGTTGCTGCAGAGAAAGAGAGGCTTTGGGGGGCGGGCGGCTGCTGTGGGGCGGGGGGCTCTGTGAGCTAAGGCTTTGCTCAGAGCCCCGAGTCGGCTGGAAGCTCCAGACCCCAGCGGGCTTGGTGCAGGCCGGGGCTCCTGTGGACGGACACTGTCTCACTGTCTGTCCCCGGCGAGGTGGCCCTGCGCTCGCCGTGCCCCGGAGGGTGGCCCTCACTGAGAACGCACTGAGACCTGGGAGTCCCTTCCAGCAGGGAGACGCAGGCTGCTCGCGGGGACGCCCCCCCCCCCATGGGCCGGGGGTACAGTCAATTCCCAAGAACTTTTTTTACATCAGGGCACATTGGGTTTGCGATGACACCGTTTCTCCGCCTTTCTCCCTGAGACTGGGAAGTGGCGGTGGGTCGGGGCTCGTGATGCCCGCCGCGCGTGTGTGTCCTGCGCCGTCAGCCCCGCAGTCCCCGCGTCCAGGCAGCGGGAACCACGGGGACCTGCGCCTCCTTTTAAACTGGAGCCGTGACCCAGGGCTCCTGCCGTCTGCGCTCCGGGGACAACGGCCTTGAAGACAACGGGAGACTTTTTTGAAGCAAAACAGTTTCCTGCTTGCGTCCTGTCTGCGCGTCCTGTCCCCTGAATCTCGAGTCCCGCCCGACAGAGCCAGGGCTGGGGCTGCAGGGCGCTGAGGCTCGAGAGGTGCACGGAAGCCGGCCGCTGCCCCCGGCGGTCTCTCTTTGTCGTCGTCACAGGTGCGGAGCCCGGGGCGGCACGCGGCCAGGGGCGGCCACACTCGTGCACCAGAAACCCTGGGTGGTCACCACCGCCTCAGGTCACAGCCACAGGCAGGGGGCAGTTCGTGTTTCCCCGGGGAGCACGGCTCATTGCCCGTGGAGCGGGGGCCTGCTTTAAGCCTTGCCGCGGGGGCCGCGCTCACCTGCTCTCTGTCCTGGGTTTGCAGAACAGACGGGCCGTCAGGACGACCCGAGAACGAGGCGCCGCTCTGCTCCCCCCGGGGCATCGCAGCAACGCTGCCCCCTCCCTGTCTGCCCCCGGGACCCCCGTCTGTCCACCCCCCCACCCCCGCCGAGACTTCCTGTGTTCAACAGTCTCTCTGGGACGGCCCATGGAGCGTGGCGCGGCTCAGACGTGCGCCGAGTCCCACAGAGCGGGCACTGGGTTTTAGGTCTCGCGCAGGGCGGGTCTGCCTCCTCTGAGTTGTCCTCGGTGCTGCCGCAGGCCATCGTGCTGGTTGTCACACACGGGCGTCCTGCAGCCTGTCACCGCTGGGCGGGTTCACCCGAGATGCAGGCGGACGGAGAAAAGTCGCGGGGCCGTGGGGGCGCTTGACAGGCCTTTGTTCAAGGGTGGTCGAGCCGCGCACGCTGCCTGCTGCCTGTGTACCGGGAAGCCCCGACCGCTCACACGCTAAAGAGAAGCAAAGCCGGCGGCGAGCCACGCTGGTTGTGTAGCACGGCGGGATTCTGCGCGGGCGCCCCCCTCAAGGCTATGGGGAAGGGACAGTTCGTCGGGCCCAGACTCAGGTCTCTGACAACACTGCTCACCAGGCCCGTTCAAGGTCGTGGCAAACTGCTTCCCTTGGTGGCCCAGACGCCCGGGTGAGGAAGCCAGAGTGCCTCTGTCTACCCTGCAACAGCAGTGTGGGGCCAGGGGCCCACTGTTGGCTGCGTGTCCCCGCACTTGCATGGGGCAACAGCTGTGGAGTTCCAGCGATGCACCTCTTTGTGGTAGAATAATGGGACCACGACGTGGTGACGTGGCCCAGCAGGGTGGACATGGCGCCCTGCCGCCCTTTGGCCTCGCTGCTCTACTGCACCCCAACCCCCTGCGCTGCTGAGGTTCGAGTGTGCACCCGGCTGGGCTGCGGCGCCCACAGGGGTGTGGGCAGACATCGCTCTGCGTGTTTCCGTGAGGGTGTGTGGGGACGAGGTCAGCTCTCAGGTGGGCGGACTTGGAGGAAGGCAGCCTGCCTGCCCCCCCCCCCCGTAGTGGGCCGCGTCCGATCAGGCGAAGGCTGGGGGAGAGCAGCAGGCCGACCTCCCCGGGCAGGAAGGAAGGAACCCTCTGGCCGACTTCCTGGGGAGCTGCAGAGTCTGCCCTTCCCGGCTCTCGCGACCTCGGGGGCCTCCTGGGACTAAGTCCGTCGCTTTCTTTCTCTCTCTCATCCGCACACCGTGGGGCCTCAGGCCTCAGACCTACATCGTCGCAGAAAGCTGTTGGGGAAGCGATTTCCTGCAACACCAAACCACGCTCACACTGACGCGTTGTCTCCTTTGCCGTCGCCCGAGATGTGTGACCGATCCCACGAGTGTGAGCACCAAAGGGCTTTAAAAAACCAGAGTTTTAGCACCCTGGCTGGCGTAGCTCAGTGGATTGAGCGCGGGCTGCGAACCAAAGCATCGCAGGTTCAATTCCCAGTCAGGGCACAAGCCTGGGTTGCAGGCCACGGCCCCCAGCAACCGCACACTGATGTTTCTCTCTCTCTCTATCTCCCTCTCTTCCCTCTCTAAAAATAAACAAATAAAATCTTTTAAAAAACAAAACAAAACGGAGTTTTGCGGGACAGCGGAGACGCTCTTTCCATGAACAACTCCGCGGAGAACCGAATGGTTCACGACGGTGGACGACTGAGAACGGAGGTTTGCTTGCACGAGTGTGGAACCGGTTCCGGTTCTCTGGAGAACCCGGCCGGTACCAGCACTTGGAGGCCAGGCCGCCCTG